TCATGGGCAGGGGGCTGCCCCAGGCCCTCAGGGGCCCACTGTGGACAAGGGCTGCTCCTGCCTGCAGAGGTGGGGGGAGGGCCACTTTAACCCAGCAGAGGGGTGGGGGCCTGCTCCTGTTGGGTTGGAGCGACCCCCTATTCGCCTCCCTCATTAATCGGTTAATCGGTTAAACAATATGTTTAGCTGGTTTGCCAGTTAAATGATATTTTACATCCCTACTTTAAATAACATTTTGTTTGGCATTCTATTAAAATGACAGTATTCATGACAGAAGGCATCAGCAGTGGGGGAAGTAATAAAATATTTAGTGGAGAAGAAGTTGGATCCTAAAAGGTACCTTAATGGAGTTAATTCCCCCCTTTCTGAAAGTAGAAATGGTTGGTCATGTCCCTTCTACCTTAAATCTATATTTATGAATGAGGTCATATTTTTGTTGTATCAGAGTTAATGAAGGTAGGATAATTGAATTCAGAATTTTGTCAATTTTTGTGAAAGATCTGCTGTCCTGTTCAGCAAGGTCTGTATCAGTTGAGCCTGTGGCTCTGTGTGTGTTGGTATTTGATATATAGATGTGACTCTTAAAGGAATTCTATATCCGTATAATATTTGTTAGCATACAGTGTGTTTCACATCATAAAACCTTCATATATTGTGAAACACTTTTTTTCTGAAAAATAAAATATTTCTTTCCTCTACAGGTTTGGGAAAATCATAACCTTATAATCTGTTCCCCTTCCCTTTTTTAGGACTTGTTAGCAGCTCCAGTGTACACTTAATAAGATACACAACTCTTTGGCAGGTCTGAAAATAGCTTTGTGTCCAGTAGAGGGCAGTGTTTGGAAGGCAGGAATATGCAAAAACATGATTTTATGTAGATATTATTTAAAGGGAATATTTTAAGTAGAAACTTCAGTATGTTTTTCAGGATTCTAGGTTTGTGATGAGTGGTTTTTTTTTTTTTAGAGATGCAGTGATTTCCTTTCTTTTAAAATGATTTTTTATTTTTTATTTGGCTGCCAATACATTTTTAGGAGCAGTAAGCATAGATCATAGATTTGTTTTTTATGGGTTAACTGCTACCACTTTGCAATTACTTAACACTTTACATCAAAGATGTTGACCCATTTCACAAATTTTATTATGCCTCATGACATTCATGTGAATAATGGTTGAAGTAGACTACAATAATAAGGGGTATTCTCCTATTTTTTCCCCTTGTCATCAGAGGTATCGTTGTTGAGTGAAGGGATTTATATCACCTTCTGGAAATGAATGCAGGAAAGTAAAGAGACGGAATAAGAAAAAATGTATCTGAAAGAGATTCATATTTCCAGGAAGTGCCATAGTCACCTAAAAAAAAAAATACTCTTGTGCTGCAACGGGTGAAGCAGCATAGAGGGTATATCCGTTATACTTCTCATTTCAGTTTCAACCAGGATAAAGTTTCAGTATTGATGTAAGCAAATAATGTGTTACCTTTGGAAAATTCCTGTGTCTTAGAAGAGAACCCTTGCAAAAGAGATTTTATACACAAGACACCTTCCCCGGAAGGGAGAGGTAGCTGGTAGGAAACTTGTTCTCTAGGGCTACATCTACACTGCGAATTTTCTCGGCAAAAAATATGCAAATGAGGGACTCAGTTGCATGAATTGTGATCTCGTGCATATTTTCTGCCAATCTGTTTTTGCGCTGGGGTTTTTGCACAAAAACAAGCAGTGTGGATATTTTCTTTTTGTGCAAAAAACCCTTTTTCTGCAAGATCAGTATACCTCCTTTTTGGGGGCATAAGGATCGTGAAATGTAGGTACGGGGGTACTTGTTGTTATTATTATTATTATTATTTATTATTTTGAAAAAGGAGTACTTTATTAAAAAAGGTTTAGAAATACTGAGCTAGGGCACCTCTTCTTGCATTTATCAGATGCTGATGTAACTCCACTTGCTGGGAGCCTCAGGAACTTCTTAGCCAGGCACTAGTTCAGTGGTCTCCATCTTTTAAAGCATGAGATCACTTTTTGAATTTAAGTGCAATCCAAGATCTATCTCAAACACAAATACCCTTACCCTGCCTCCTTTGTGCCCCTTCTCTGAGGCCCCACCTCCACTCACTCCATCTTCCCTCCCTTCCCCACCCTCCCTCACTTTCACCAGTCTGGGGCAGATGGTTGGGGTGCAGGCTCTGGTCTTAGATTAAGGGATTTGGAGGGGCTCTGAGCTGAGCCTGGGGCAGGCAGTATTGGGGCTGGAGAGGATTTGGATTCAGGGATGCTCGGGGCTAGGGCAGGGACTTGGGGCATAGGAGGGGGTTCATGACTGGGATAGGGTTTTGGGATGTGGGCACCAGCTGGGTACTTCAGGTGGCTCCTGGGTGATGGTGCAGTGGGGCTAAGGCAGGCGTAAATCCTGTCCTGGCCCTGCACTGCTCCCGAAAACAGACCGCAAACTCTAGCCCAAGTCCTATTGTGCCACCTCTCTGCTCTGTGGAGAGGGGACACCTTGACATCAATCAGTACGCCCCCTCCTCTCCCTCTCTTGTCCTGCACAGCAAGAAGGAGGCTTCTGAGGGGACAGCTCCAAGGCAAAGGGCAGGAAATGCTCAGCAGTCTGTGGGGGGGGCAGCTGAAGTGCTAGCCTTGATAACCTCTTGGTCAAACCAGTCAGGATCACCCGTCGGAGGCTCCAAGATCTACCAGTAGATTCAGATCTATTAGTTGGTGACCACTGTACTAGGTCTTCAGATTTCAGTTTCCCGTGCCTAGTGTGTCTACACTGTATGAAACAGACTTAAATTGGATAGGAAGAGGAACCCCAGTTACTCAAAACCAGGCCAAAACAAAGAAAGGGCACTGCACTGCTTTTTGCTTGCCTCTCACTTTAGCCTGTGCCTGTGACATAGGAAGCTACTCTGTTCATTTTGCTGGTGGGGAAACAGGCACGCAAAGTAATTGTCCAGTTTGATTACCACACTCACTTCTATACATACCACATGGGCACCTGAGCTATAAAGGGTTTTTTTATATTTGGAGGATGTCTATAAGGTATGATAGTGATGAATATTGATTTGACCCATATCTTGTTGGCTTTTTCTCCCTCAATATCCATGTGACTTTCCTAAAGTCTTGTGCTGGGCTTTGATTTCCTGTTAATTGTCTCAGTACTGGTCTACTATCAGAGACATGATTGAGTTAGTGAGTTCAGTTTTAAAAAAAATCAACACATTACAATGGTATGTTGGTGATTGCTAAGAAATCATATGCTGGACATTTGAACAAGAATGTTAAAATCTGTCTGCATCTAAGTATGTCGCTTCCAGCCACTCAGTCCTGAGACATTTGGAGGCAGATTTTGAAACTTCTGTTTTTTCAACAAGATTCAGCTCAAATATAGCATCTTTCCATGGAAGTTTTAGGATCTGTGGTTCTTTAAAATGGGAAGAGTGACAAGGATTTCTAAGTTATGCCTGAGATCCTTGGGGCTATGCAAAGAAGATGCTGTAGATCTTGGGTTGTTCATTGGAGGTCCTTCTTCTCAGTATAGAAAATGTGGCTTACCCAGGTGATGTACAACCACGGGCTCTGCTCCCACATATCTGTATTCAGATTCCTTCAGAGGGAACATCTCCTCAGGTCAATACTAGGTTACACATCACAATTTGGGTTGGTTCAGCACAGTATCTTTCCACCCTTCACCTTCTGCTTCATCGGATTAGGGTACTATTTCTCAAATGCAAGCTACTTGTTATGTTCCTTTATTTTGCGTCCATCATCTGTATGCATTACAGACATTAAAATGAATTGTTGCCAGCAACTGGAATAAAGCAAGCCTACCCCCAGATACTATCTCTCACTTTATCCACTGATGGACTAAATATCCTCTGGCTTCACACCTGAATTAAAAACCAAAGAAACAGTTTTATTGCGCAGCATCATAAATGTGTCTGAAAGCAGGGGGAGCATAGAACCTTTGTTCAGTTTCATTTTGGTGCCAGGCAGAATATAGAAAAGCTAGAGAATGGAAGTCAAGTGGACTCTCAAACAGGAAATCCTTCCTTATTTGTGCTTTGTGAGGTTGCTTTTCTAGGTAATTTTTCTTTTGTTAAGAAGCTACTGCATTGGGTTGAAATATGCAGGTGGATTTGACACCTTGTCAGGATTTTGAGATTAATTTAGAGTGAATTAATTAACAGAGCACAAAGTGCTCTCTTTACCTCTAGGGCCTGAGTGCTGCCTCCCAAGTACTACCAGGCTTTGCCAGCTTGGGATTGAGAGAGCAAGCTGCTGCATGAGATCACGTGGTCTCACAAGTCACTGGGTTGGGCTATAAGTACTAACATAAAAAGAAGTGTGTGGGTATTGCAATTAGGCTTGAAAAATGCTGGGTAAAATGTGAGTCTTTAAAACACCGTGTGAGGAGTAAAGACATAATGTTGATAGTCTGCAAATTTAATGCTTTAACCGTAGGCAGCTCCAGTCAGTAAATCTGAGCCCGATTCGAGCTCCCTGTTGGCTGAGGGATGTGCAGCTCTACCTGTGCTTGCTTATTTACAGCCTTGCTTCTGTCCTTTTCCAGTCCTATTCCTGCATTGGATACAGTCCTGTGCCTGCCTTGCCTCACCTCACACCAGGTCACATGTCTCTGACCCTGTGTTCTGACTCTGACCTCTAGCCTTTGCCTCTGTGTTTCTGGTTCCTGCCTCCTGTTCTGACCATTAGGCAAAGCAGCTCACATCCTATCATCTAACAGCATGAGGCAGGATACCATGTAAACATTTTAAAGAGGAGTTTTGAAATAAACTCTGAATTTTATGTGGAAACTTTAAAGACTATTTCAGTTGTTGAACTTTATTTTGAACCAGGGAAATATGTACCTTTTCAATAGTTTGGTAAATATTATTTCATGTCCTCTTGGGGCTGCTGAAATTGTGACCTGAATAGAAACTGTTTTAAAATAATTTCATATAATTGCCCACTAAGTCTTTTTTGTTACATTTGCAATAGGACCATGGGGTCAATAGCACTCTGTTCCAGAACCCAGCAAAGCTTCATCTTACTATTGGGACGCTAGTACTCCTGAATGAGCAGGAGATCCAGAAGGCATGTGAACTTCTTCAGAAAAGTAAAGAGGACTTTATTGAGTAAGTGAAATAAAGACATGACTCATGGGGGTATGGTCACTGAGAACCAAACTAGTTTTAGAGCCCAGGGAACAAGTGCAGGAGAGAGTGATTCACCCATCGGGTATAATTCAGAAGTTTTGAATCATTGTTTTAAAATCTGTAAAATGCTAAACCTTTCAAACAAAAGAAGACAGACAAGTACTTCATTGTATTTTGCACCAATCACTGAAAACTTTCTCTGTTTACTGGAAACCTTCAGTAATTTCTTTATATTCTAACAGTCCCCATTATTTTGCTATGAACACAGATTTTTTTCCTCTGCCCGCCACAAGAGCAAGAAAAACTCAGTTGTCTAAATACTTTGATAATTGTTTGTAAGTCTCATGCAAGTTGCCTCTTTTCTACTGAAGAACAGATGCTAATGTACCCCTGAAATGCATTCCTTCAGGCAAGGGAGGCCTGTGCAGAAAACTTTAGAGAGGATGAATTTTATTAGTCAGTCTGGAATACTAGCTTAGTGCTGCTATGGCACTAAGACCCATAATTTCTAGGGTAAAACCATATTTCAGGTTTAGAGCTATCTGAACGTAATGGGTGTTGTACTAAGATAATCTAACTCAGAAATATTAGATATTTTATTTTCTTTAAACATTTTTTTCTTTCTACCAACATTATGCAAAGACGTCTTATCATGTAAGACAAGTTCTTGATTTCTGCTGTGTATGAGGAATTATACCTGCAGGTGCCATGAATATCCCTGGGTATTCACATACAGCTAAAATTCTTACCTTCTGCTTTAAAATGAAGACCTGAGTCTTTCCCAGGATATACTGAAATAAAGGCTAAACATGATTAAACATCCATGAAAGTTCCAGCACGTATCTTCATTAGTGGAGGTAGGGTTCTGCATTTATATTATGAAGGCTGCCATCTTCCTTGTGAACAGATCAACTCTAATGGAATCTTTTCCATAGGTTGTCTTGGGGAAAAAGCACTGTCATTTGAATATTTTAGTTATTTAAGTTGCCTTTCATACCCCAAAAATTAAATGTATGTTGACAGTTGTTTTAATCTACTTTTCTTTATTAACATCTATATGTAGATGAAGGATTTGTATCCTACATTAAGATAAACAACACCCTTACACATCTTTTAAGAAAAAGTTATCCTAAAAATGTTTTCCCCTTGCCTATATGGACATACATTCCAGCGCCGCCTCCTTCCCTATCTTTTGGAATGGAGTCTGGTGTATTGGAAGAGGAAAGGCATGCTTACCAGAATGTTTCACTTTCTTTATTCTAGTTTGAGAGTCTTGCTGAAGATCACAAAGGAAGTTTCTTTAGCAGGTGCACTGAAGGTAAGCTAACAAGATGAGTACAAAGTGATATATACATCTTGTTAGCTTCTCCCTGCTTGGGACACTCCCTTTATTTTCCAGGAGACTTTCTAATGGAGGGAAATCTTACTCGACCTCTTCCATGGATTATCTGGTTTGGGAAAGTAGATGGGTGTGGGGCCAGTATGTTTACCCATAAGGAAAGGGGATACACTTCATAGCAATCTAAGTGCCCGGGGAATACAAATGATAGATTGCTTGTGAAGTAACAAAAACTGTTTCAAACAACATATTTACTTTCAATATTTTTAAATGCATGTTGAAATTTACCTAAAAGTTGCACTCAGTGTCAGGTGCTTTACCCATCCTTAGGTCCGAAACACTGTGCTTAGTGTATGATTTACCAACTGATGAATAAGAAAAGTGCAAATTGAAATATTATTCTTATAGTATTTCTTGACTACTTATAGTAGTTCTTTACATGGTAAGATATTAGTTGCTCGTTACACACAGTAAATATTGTTTTAAAATACAAAAACCCCTCTCCCTGTAAACATACCTTTAAAGATAGGCAAAGTTATTTCTTAAAATTGTGTGACATTCACCCAGTATAGATCACAAGATCTACACAACTCAAGTTCCACTCGGGTCACTTTTTTTTTTAATTTTAACAAAGTTTTGTAAGAAAAGAGCTGAAAAGTTAGTCCTTTAATATAGCACCCTTTCAGAAAAGCCAAATAATTAGAATATGGATGAATATATATTTTAGGGAAGCAGCTAAAAACACAATGTTGTCTGAAGGGGAATTCTTCAGTAGACAGGAATATATATTAATCCTTATATAACAAAAAACTCCCTTTATATATTTTCTCTATTTTAGGTTGTCTCCACTATGCAGACTCTCAAGAAATGGGCAGTATAAATACAAGGAAAACATTTTTGTTTAAATATCTGATACACAAGCTTTCAGTCCTCCCAAAGCCCCAAATTCAGTCATTAAAAGGAAGAATTTTATAGTTGTATTGCAAGCAAGGTTCTTTCTGTTTTGTTAATTCAGAAAATATTTATAGCTGTTTCTGACACACAATTTCAAAGTGGGAATTTAATATTTTGAGGGAATTGACGATTCTTCTTAAACAAGCATTTTAATGTATCTTATGGATAATAAATTCACAGCCATAAAGAATGCGTCATGGACTTTGAAATCTAGTCTTTTGTATGCTACAGATTTTATTGGGGGAGACCAGCATTTCTCAAATTGGGGGTTCTGACACAAAAAGGAATTGTAGGGTGGATCACGAAATTATTTTAAGGGTTGGTCACAGGATTGTCATTTTTACTTACTCCGCATTACCTTCTGAATTGGCCAATTGAAGAGCAGTGATTGTTGGCCAGGTGTCCAGATCAGAAGGCAGCACCACAACAGCAGCTGTAAAGAAATAAGGGTGGCAACACCATACCATGCCATTCTTACTTCTGTGCTGCTGCTGCTGGTGGCTCTGCCTTCAGAGCTGGACTCCCAACCAGCAACCACAGCTCTCCAGCTGCCCATTTCTGAAGGTAGAGCCATTGCCAGCAGCAGTGCAGAAATAAGGATAGCAGTACCACAACCTTTTCTACAGTAACCTTGCGACCACTCCACAACTCCTTTTTGGGTCAAGACTCCTGCAGTTACAGCACTGTGAGATTTTCAGATCTAAATAGCTGAAATACTAACATTTACCATTTTAAAATTCCTGTGACTACGAAATTGACCAAAATGGAACATGAATTTGTTAGGGCCTTACTTGTGTCATTTATAGATAAAACTTCCCCAACCTGGAGTTCTCTTTGTGGGTTGATGATAGAATATGAGTGAGTTTGTTTGTTGATCTCCTTTAATTATAACATCAGCTATTGCCATTTCATCTCGTGGCATTTTCATATAGTCTGAGGAGTCTTAATATTTTATAAACTTTTCCTCTGAGTATATGCCTATTGGCATTCAAGCAGAGAGCCACCATTCTGCACTTAGCAATAATCTACGTATAGCCTGGGACACTAGAACCTGACTTATTAGAAGAGCAAATGTTGGTCAAGCCACCATTCTGCACTTGGCAATAATATACGTATAGCCTGGGACACTCGAGCCTGACTTATTAGAAGAGCAAATGTTGGTCAGAACTCTGTTAGTTCCTACTCTCCCCAAAATACTTCAAGTTATATGCAGAAGAGACCATAGTTTAAGGACCCTTGAAATGACAGAAGGTTGAATATCAAAGCACCTACCTTTTTATTACTGGACCAAATACAATGAAATATAAATCCAAGACCTAATTGGAGCTTTAGTCCATGACTTTCTGTCCTGGAAGCGAGTGCTTGGCTCCTGAGCCATGCTTAATTATTGTTGTCATGAGAGAGGAAGTTCATGTGTGAGGCCTGCAAAGTCAGAGGCCTGTCATTCTGATATAGCTGCGAAACCTAGTGCTGATGAGTAGCCAGGGTCTAAGTTCTGGGATGGAAGTTGGATGTAATGTTCTTGGAACTTTTGCGTTCCTCTCCGTTAGCATAACAATTAGGGAAACTGTCTTACTGATTTGACTTGTAATTGTATTAGTGTTTTGACTCTGGCTAGCACTTTTACAAGAGTTGCCACTTGACTTCTGTAGTAGCAGTGGGAGCAACTAGTATACACGAATGAGGATAAATGCAACTTAAAACAGTAAAATATGTATTTACCTACTTTTGTATTCAAAATGGATAGGTTTATTTAATATTTTGGAATTTTTTGTTTTTTAGTAAAACTGTTGGAGGCAAACCCCTGACAGTGGAGGTGGCAGGAATAGAATACATGAATGATGACCCTGCCATGATTGATGTTCTTTATGCAAACGTTCACATGAAGGATGGATCAGACAAGTGAGTTCCCGCTTTCATTTCACTGGGGCATGCAGACAGTACCTGAGGAGGTAGAAATAATGTAATGAAAGCCCTTTGAGCTGATGGGGAGTGCTGGAGAGCGTCACACTAGCAATCCAGAAGGTGAGGTTGGTGCTACTTTCTAGCCCAGTGGAGTTAAAGCTGTAGCCCTGGAGAGAAGTATAATGGAATTTATGTGGGTAAGACTCACCAATCTGATTAGAAGGTTCTAGGTTTGTCCTCCATACCCCAGGTTACATAAGTTGAGAACTATGGAGTTCTGTTTCTGAAGGTGGATCTGGGGGTCCACAACAGCAGCCACACTCACAAAGAGAAGAGTACCAAATTAAAACAAGTTTTATTATGGCAGCTATTATGATGGCTAACAGAACAAAGCATACAGTATCAATTTGCAGATTGACTGAATCACCTCTGAAGGCAACATTAACAAAAATCTGGTTATATAATTTGTGCTTATCTAAATATACAGATACAATTACCTAATCTTATAGCATACTCATATCCACTTGTCCCAGAAGACCGGGTGTGGAAGGACCAGCCTTCTTCTGCTTGTGGGACTCTGGTGCATGGTAGAGTATGGAAAACTTAGAAGCAAAGACTTAGACAGAATAAATAAAGTGAAGCAAAGAGTTTAAATGAAAGGAAGAAATACTTGAGGAGGAAGAAGATAGGGCTTGTGCTCTAGCCCCGAGCTTCCTTATTCCGTAGCTTTTATCCCTCTTTTAACATCATAATACCCAGCCTCCAAATTAACCAAAACCAGACTTCTACACTCTGAGATTTTATGAGTACACCTACATGATTGGATGATGATATCGGGAAATCTTTTAAATATTCATGAATAAAATCACTTGATGGCCCCTTGGACTCGTTCCCAGACATAGAAAAAGCGGAAGCCTTGTGGTTAGGTACCAGGAAATCTGTTTTCTCCTGTTTCCTTAATCCAAGATATCGGTTAGCTGGGTTTTGCAGTTTGGGGGCCTATTTAGATCCTCACAAGGCATGGAGTCACAAACTCATCTGTGTACTGACCCAACTGAAGAATTCTCCATAGGGTCTTTCATAATTTCTAAAAAGATATTAAGAATGCTTAATTTTCCAGAAAGTAATTTAATCCTAAATTATCACACTACATTACTGCTCAAGCCAACTAATGCAGGATAAATTAGATCCTGCAGGCCTTGCATTTCTGGCATTAGTATTAAAATACAGAAAAAGGGATGGAATAGGACAGCTGACGGTTCACTCGAAGAGTGGGGCAAAGACTTTGAGTGCTCCCCTACCCCCAGACCTCTCAGGGTCTATGGGTGGGGAAGCATGGAAGTGTCTTGGCCCCGCCCCTTATGGGCAGCCTGGGGCCACTTCAAAAATTTCTGAAGTGGCCTCCGATCAAAAATTATTGCCCACTCCTGGGTTAAGAGAAACTATGATAAGCATGGTAGGAATTATGCTTATGGGGGGGCAATGTGCAAGACCTCAGAGACCTAGCTCTCAGCCTTCATACAGGTCCCAAATAAATGTATTGATCTGCACACATGGCAAAATTTAAATATTCAGTTCTTATGCTTGTGAAGAAAACATGCTGTGTGTGACTAGATCCAGACTGACTTTTTCTGGGCCCGTGGGCAGGGTTCCCTCTAAGCTGTGTGCCTGTGCACAATAAATTTTAGGCCCACACACCTCTCCTGCAGAGCCTCACAGAAGCAGTCACTACCACACACTTTACTGCTGGACTGGAAGGTGAGTGGTGGCAGTGGTGATGTGGCAGGGCCGCGTGAGAACGGCCAGGCTGTCCTGTCCCTGTTTGCTCTGGTTCCAGCTATGGTGGGCAGGATGCCGTGCCCAGCTGGTGGGGCTGTGTGGCTGGGGGCGGCTGCTTGGGCAGCCTCAGCCACTGCTGGAGCTCTGTGGCCGGGGGCAGCTGCTTGGGTGGCCTGGGCTGGAGCCGGAGCCGGAGGCAGCAGGTGGCAGTGGCAGCACTGACCAAGTGGGCAGCTGCCAGCCAGCAGCCCTTCCCCCCTTACCTTAGAAGCTGCTGGTCAGCTGACTGGGAGCACTGGGCAGCACAGCTCCGGCTCCCCCCTCACTCATGCTTTGAGGGAGCTGGGCAGTCCAGCCCCAGCCCTTCCACCCATAAATAGCTGCCGGCTGTCTGGGATTGGGCAGCACTCAGCTCCACTTTCCTCCCCAGCAAGCAGTTTCCTGGGAGCCGAGCATTCCAGTCCTGGGCCCACGCCCTTCAAGGAGCCACCAGAGAAAAGGGCAGCCCAACTCCAGCCTCACCGCAGTGAGGAGCTGCCACCTCCCCAACCCCTCAGCCCTCCATCTTGAGCTCCTCCTTCCCCTGAATCCTGCATCCCCTGGCCTGAGCCCCTCCCTTACCTCCCACCCCCTGCCCTGATTCCTGTACCACAGGGTCCTGCACCTTGTTAATTATCCTTTGGTTTAGTATTTTTTCTTGTATAACAATTTAAATTTGTGTTAGTAACTGGTGGGTGCCACAGTGGCGCACATCCGAATAAGCACACATGATGTCAGTGTGGGTGCACAAGACAAAACTCATTCTGCTCATGGATGGAAAATCTTGTAGGGAACACAGCCAATGGGCAACCTGAAAATTATCTCCTAGCAATGTATGTACTTATAAGTGTTAAATGCTGAATCTGAACAGTGTCAGTTTGAATTTTAGAATTTTTGTAGGCATCATTTGCTGATCACATTAGTAGAAACTAGGGATATAAAATCCTGTTAACTAAACCAAGTAACTGCTTAAACGGGCTGGGAGCAGCCCTCCACCTGCAGTACAGCAGGCTGTTTGGCCTAACCATAACCGCTGATTAACCATAACCGGTAAGCATCACCTGATAAGAGTGATGCTACCGGTTAACCATTCATATCCCTAGTAGAAACATCTAACCTGTCTGATGGGATGTGCAAAAAACACTTGGTGTAATGGCAGGTAAGGTAATGTTGGGGACAGCCTTTCCCTTATTTTTGAAAAGGGCATTGTTGCACCGTCCTTTCCCTTAGAGCCCTGTTGAAAAGGGATGGGAGATTCACAAGCATGGGAAACAGGAATTCATGTGAGGAATAGGGGGACAAATGGCTTTAACTCTCCATTTCCATAAGGCTGCCCTAATGTGCAGCATGGCACTGGGAAGAGAAAATATAGGAAGCTTGAATTATCAGCAATTAACCGGTGGCCTGGCCGGGCTGGAACAGCTCCGGACGGATGGGAGTAATAGGGTGGGTGTATGTGCTCCAGCCTGGCCGGGCCCATCTTAACTTGTATAACCATATATATTGGCTCAGCATGAGAGAGAAATCGTGCTCTGATACTTTCCACATGATTAAAATTCCCATTCCAATTCATTCTAATTTGTTATATTTCCTTGATTAGTTTTAGAACACAATAAAGTGCCATTTTTACTTGAGTTCTTCTCTATTAATTTGTTTTAGTATCTATAATAATATTCACTTAATCTTTTTCATTGCTAATTTTAAAAATCACTGATGTAAAGCGAGAAAGAAATGATAATAAACCATGACAATCAGTTTGTGTGTGTTGAAATTCACACGATGAGTGGAAGCCTATAGAAGGCAGCACAAAGCCAGTAAGTAGGCAGTATAGTAACTGCAGAGGGCTTAACAAGTGATATTTGGGCTTCGTCCTAGTACTGCTGTCTGTAAGTCTTCCTGATTGAAATTGAGTGTTTTGTCATCTAGTGAAGAAATGGGAAACTATCAAGTAAACAGTATTCATGGACATAGATGGTGATCAGTCTATAAGAAATTTGTTTCATTTAGTATGCTTATCTCTTGTTTTAATGGATAGAAATCTTGGGTTGTATTGAATGCTCATTGACTGTAATATGGTGAGGCATTACTTGAGTTGTGACGGAAAAACAGTATGAAAAATTTGCAGATATTTAGAAAAATACATCCTTCAAGTTTCAATTTACCTATCATGTTAATTGAGTTAAAGTCCTATTTTAATGTTCTTTTTTAAATGAAATATTTGTAACAAGTTATCATCTAGGAAAATTTGCAAACAGCCAGTACTTTTTTATTTGTTTCCTTATTTGCATGAGCTCTCCCTGTTCCCATCCCTTCAGACAATACCCAAAAAGAAACAACAAACTATCCTTTCTCTAAATACAAAATTAACTGAGTAAACACACAAACAAGGAAATAGTCTTTCCTGGCAGGATTTTGATTATTCTGTTGTCTTTCCAGCAGAGTTTAATTCATTTTTTCCTCTTCACATATTGAAACTTCATTTTATACTGTGACGGGGTCCAGGGCTGGGGGGGGCCACCCTTCTCCCCTTAAGACGGTCCTTCTTCTGACACTAGCAGTTCCCACATCTCACTCCAGTGCGTCGTGTTCGGTACACTACGATGGGCGCATTCTACGCACAGACAGCAAGCGTCCTATGCTCCCCGGGTTGGAGAGGGAGGGGGGGCCCGGGTCTGCCCTCACTCATGGACCCCACTCCAGCGCCCTAAGGACACGGATCTGCTGCGATCCGGTCCAGCTGACAGGATGTACAGCCGAAACGTGGCAGCCCACCAACCCTTCCTGGTTGCGCCCTGGGCTGCTTCCTCTCCCCCTTCTGCCCTTGCAAGTCTGCCTTACGGACCCAGGAATTCGGGAGCCCTCGTCGTCGCTCCCCCCCTCTCTGATCCCTCTCCATCCCCCCGGGTCCGGGTTCTTGAGGCTCACCTCCCCCCAGGACAACAGGATGCCTCTGGAGCGGGGTACCGATCAGGAGTTCTGGTTCCTCCGATCCACGTCAGTTTCGGCTCTCCACCACCACCCCCCTTTGCTGTCCTGGCGGCAGCGTTTTTAAACATCCCTCCGCTT